AGCATGGAAAAACTAAAGTCAAAAGTGGGTAGAGACATGCTTTCAAAAGCAGCTGTTTTCACACATTTCTAAGTGATGTTTTTTAGTGGTGGCTGTGAACAAACCATGAACAATGTAGAAAAAAGAAATAAAAATGAGCAGATCCTAATATTCTTCCAGTTGAGACAATTCAGCGAAGCCAGTCAAATGTATTGATTGAAATACTTGATAACTTTATGAAAAATATGAGAGCACTCTTGCCTTGGCTAATGGCAACCATGTGACTGTGAGGCAGTGAGACCTGTAAGCACAGCAGTAAAGTGAGCGGAGGTGGGTTTCGGACAAGGAAAGCCAGCTCATTTCAACAACAATAACGAAGACAGTGTTACTTGATTTTGTAAACTGATTAGCACCTGGGAAGACAAGAACAAAACCCAGTGAAATGGCCAATGGAAGCAATGGAATCATTTCAACCAAGTGCCTGGGGAAGAGATGGAAATGTCAAAACATGAATTGTAATATGAAAATTAAAGAAAACTGAACCCAGGAGTCTAAGTTTAAATAACTAGTCTGCACTATCTGTACATGTCTGTTCTAATAACTTGGTGAACAAATTGTAGCTAAGACAATCCTACAATATATAAAATTAAATGTGTAAGACAGAAATTTATGGCTAGAAATGCCTTAGACAAGATTATACAGGCAGATAAACTGTTTTCAGAAATTCATTATCAATGCATAAGACTGATAATTCTCTTGTCTTTGATAACTACATGTTGGAGTAAAATAGGATGTCTTATCAATACTTGTTTTTCTTGGGCCATAGAAAGTTTGGAGAACTGGACATTTGAGTTTCACTCTATAGTACAAGCAAGGGCAGTGACAGGAATACTTTTGGTATCATGTTACTTGTGGCTACAGCAAACTGTATATGGTTCTCATGAGGCTATCCTCAGGATAGTTCCATTACAAGACATACTACCATAAAATGAATACTGGCTTTGAAAATAAATCTTTCACTATTGTATGTTCTTCAGGAGCAATTCAATACTTTAAGACAGGGTATATAATAATAAAGTCTGTTCTCAGTTTCCAAGAACAATTAGGAAAACATGAACCTCTAACAATTTTGCTCTCCAAACTTCAAAGTAAGCACTTTTACTTTTAAACTAGAATTTTACATAAGTTTTAGCCCAGTATGTGGCAAGCTACAGTACATAAGGACTTCTTGCCTGGTATTCAAACAGTAAACATTATACAAAATTGCATTAATTACACTTAGTTTTTAAACTGTATGTGTCATATAGTTTACATTTAAAATAAATGTTCCTAACATGTATGGCTTAAAGGCATGACAATGGTAGAGAATGATCTGTAACTACTCACATATGATGGGATACACTAAGGCAGGGACACAGAGAGAGAACCCTATGGTCTTTTACGAGTATAAATTTCAAACAATTTTTAAACATTTTAAACTACTGAAAGCTAAAACATTTTTGTATGATGTGTATAATGCACCCAATCATATTAATCTTCACATTTTTCTTATACAGTTAATATTAACATTTTGAAACCATGTAAGATAATTTCATATGTTACACTTATGCTGAAATACCCCGAAACAACATTTGTCAACATTTTAAACACTAAGACTTTTCTCTTAAGAATATTATTGATAACTGGAAAGAATGGTAGCTTTGCACAAGAGCAGGTTTACAGACATTGCAACTTGCTTTTCTGTTACTATGCTTTCTTTCAAAAAGCAATTTGAAATAGAAATATAATGAACTTACACATGTTTATTAAAGTTCCCAAAATGCAAACCTCATCAGTATGTACTATTATTTGATTGTAAGTTACATTTTGGGACAAGACCACTCTTTCTTCAGTTGGCACAGTCGATGTCCCTGCATTACATAGTTCAATCATTTGTTACATAACAAGTAGCAAATGCATGAAGTTGAAATGGTAACCATTAATATTTTAAGACCTAAACAAGGTATATTACATGAAATAGACTTCTCAGCTCTGCTCTGGCCTGACAGATCCACCAGAGGTTCTATTATCTCCTCCTCCCATGCATGGCCTCCTGCAGGGACAGCAGACTACAGAAGCTGACCCTTACTGAGACCATCTTGTCTCTCAGACAAAGCTCCTTTTTAACTTCTTACTTACTAGTTACTTCCTGTGCTGGAGAAAAACTTTAGCTCAGCTTGTGATAATTTCACAGGCCCTGAGGATCCTGACCCTAATAGCCTCAAGGTCAGAAGTCAAGTCTTGTTCTGAAACATCTGTGTGCTTTATATTAAAGTGGAACAAAAGTGGTGAAATATCCACCAGTGTGTGACAAGAAGGGAAGGCAAAACAGGACTGACACATTGGTCATCTGTCAATTTGGGCATCTTAAGTTCGTTTTTAAAAAATAGCCTTAAATTCGCCCTAATCCCAAATTTGATTTACAAAGTTTTTTTTTTTAAATAAATGATTGTAAGGAAAAAAAATTACAAGTTTGTTTTATTGAAATTAGAAATTAGATTAGTAGTATTTGAGGACTTTATACATTTTAAGTTACTCCATAAGTTAAAGTTAATTTTAAAGTAATTCAGTGGCTTACAAATAAAAGCTATCTATAACTACAAATGTATAATTATTTATCTGTAGATATTGAAACACTATTTTAAAACACTGTATTTTCCCCAAACATCCATATTTAAAACAAACCCATACTAATGTGTTAAAAAAAACTCCCTTAAGGTGTGTGTTATGTATAACATAATATATAGCAAAATAAACAAAATCTGTGAAGCAAAAAATGATTGCAAACAATCTCTAAATACTGAAGTCAAATTAGGAAAGAAATGACAACATATTTCTTGACTGTAGCACAACATAAGCATTTTAGATGTAGGAGGGCAACTGCAGTATAATACATGTCAGGGGTGAGCACTACTCTTATATCTAAAACACTTGAGCCTAAGGTATGGGCAGCCAAAAGGCCACAGGAATATATTTACAAATTATACACCAAAGTCTAAAAAAATGAAAAGTAGACAATGGATATCATGACATTCTGACACAACCCTTCATTAGTGAATTTCTTCATTAGTGAATTTCTAACATCAATCATTCACAATAACCACAGTGGCATAACTGTGCTATCTAGAACACTGTAGCCAATCAGATTAGATCCAAGATACCCGATAATTCTTCCTATCACCTAATTTTAACTCTTAAAATTTTTGTGACCAAGCAAAGAATGCTAGTTTCGAGTAAATTAACAGAAACCTTTCTGATAGTTTTAGTGCTAATTACATGAACTCTGACGAAGTATTAGATATTAAATAGTATACATCAAAGTCTGTTAAAATTATTAAAATCAGAGCTAGAGAGGTGACTCAGTGGTTAAGAACACTGTTCTTCCAGAGGACCAGAGTTCAATTCCCAGCACCCATATGGCAGCTCACAGCTATCTGTAACTCCAGTTCCAGGGGATCTAACATACTCACACAGACACACATGCAGGCAAACAATGAATAAATAAGTTTTGAAAAATTATTGAATTGATACCAAATATTGAATGGGTTTTCAGTATTGGGTTCTATATGGTCAACATACATATTAATGGTGTACAAATAAAACAAAATGTACATATCTAAAATGTATAGAAGACACATGATAATATTGAAATTTAAAAATAATATATAAAGAAGGAACAGCCAAAAGTCACTTCTGTTTAGCAATATAAATCTCTGTTACACTCACTCAAAGAAATTAGTATTTTTCTTTTGTTTTTTGTTTTTTTTTTTTTTTTTTGGTTTTTCGAGACAGGGTTTCTCTGTGTAGCTTTGGAGCCTATCCTGGCAGGCATCTGGAGACCTGGCTGGCCTCGAACTCACAGAGATCTGCCTGCCTCGGCCTCCCAAGTGCTGGGATTAAAGGCATGCACCACCAACGCCCTGCCTGAGGATATTCTTTTCAAAACTCATACAAGTATATCCTGAATGTATTTAAATACAGTTTAATTTTTAAATTTAAAATTTTCTCATACAATGTATTTTGATCCTAATCTTTCACCACTCTAACGTTCCCCAGTTAGACTCTGCCTACCTTCCTATAGATCTAACTTCATGTTCTTTTCCTCTTTCAAAAATAAAAACAAAAGCAAAACAAAAATGAAAATCAAAACAAAAAATTAGAAAAGAACCCCCCCCAACACACACACACACACACACACACACACACACACACACACTTTGTATTACTACTACTGGTCATGGGGCCTGCTCTGGAGTGTGGTTGATATATCCAGTGTCACTCTATTAGAGAAAAGTTATTTGCCCTTTCCCAGCAGGAATTAGTTGTAAATAGTTTCTTGGTTAATAGTGGGATTTTATGTCTACCTACTTGTTTCAGTGTTGGAACCTCACCTGGTCCTATATATGCTGCCACAGTCTCTGTGTGTGCATGCTGGATTGTCTTGTATGTTCACATGCCCATCAGTCCTATTGTGTTTTGAAGATGCTGTTTCCTTGGAGTCACCCACCCATCTACCATCTCTACCCCTTACAATTTTTAAAATAACTTGAAGTATTAATATCAAGAAGAAAGAAAAAAGAAATAGAGGGCATGCTGGAATGTGCCTTTAATTCTAGGATTTGAAAGGTAGAGGCAGGCGTTTGTGTGAGTTAGAGGCCAGCATGGTCTATATAGCAAGTTCCAGGTTATCCAGGGCTGCATAGCGAAACCCTGTCTCAAACCCAAACCCAACCCAAACCAAACCTGTAAGGAGGCTGAGAGTCAGAATTAGAGATAAGTAATGGAGAAGGTTCAGCTGTTAAGAGCATTGCCCACTCCTGCTGTGGACCCTCTTCAGTTCCCCTGTCCTGGAAGAGGACCCTTGTTCAGTTCCCAGCCACATAAGGAGGCATATGACTGCCAGCAACTCCAGTTCCAGGGAAATCCTTTTCACTTTTCTGGACATGTAAAATAAATCATTAAAAAGTAAAATGTTTACTTACCAGTTCAACAAAAGCAAGTCCTCCATAGCTGTGAGCAACAAAAAACACACTCTCTGCAGCAGACTTGGCTATGAAATGGTCCCATACATAGACTGCATGCTCTTCAGGAGAACCATTTTCCTATAAAGAAAACAAATACATACTACATATTGTATCTAGTGACTATCACAGTAATCAGTTAAATTCAATCATATGCCTGCATACAGAGAATATGAATAAGATGGTTATGCTGTAAAGTTAGAATTCAACAACAACACAAATTGCAGAAAACCTACAAACTCATGGAAATTGAACAAGGACCAATTGCATCATTCCTGGATCAAGGAAGAAATAACAAAAGAAATTAAACACTTCCTAGAATTCAACAAGAATGTAGACACAACATACCCAAACTTATGGGGCACTTTGAAAGTCCTACTAGGAGGAATGTTCATAGATCTACGTGCTCACATGGAAAAACTAGAAAATAGTCACAGCAGAGAATTGACAGCACAACTGAAACCTCTTGAACAAATAGAAGCAAATTCAACCCAGAGGAGTAGACACAAGGAAATAATCAAACTGAGGGAAGAAAGAAGTTAATAAAGTCAAAACAAAGAAAAAAATTCAAAGAACCAATGTAACAACATAGACAAACCTTTATCCAAACTAACTAAAAGGCAGAGAACATGCAAATTAACAAAATCAGAAATGAAAAGGGAGACATAACAATGAACACTGAGGAAATCCAGAGAATCTTCAGGTCATACTTTTTTGTACTCCACAAAATTCGAATATCTACAGGAAATGGACAGATGTCATTTCTGGATAGATGTCATTTACCAAAATTGAATTAAGAACAGATAAGCAACTTAAACAGACCTGTAACCCCTAATGAAATAGAAGCAGTCATCAAAAGCCTCCCAACCAAAAAAATCCCAGGGCCAGATGACTTCAGTGCAGAATTCTACCAGAAATTCAAAGAAGAGCTAATACCAATACTCCTCAAATTGTTCCACACAATAGAAGAAGAAGGTTGATGGCCAAACTCTTTTTTTTAATTTAAATTATAAACAAGCTTCTTTTAAATGTCAATCTCAGTTCCTTCTCCCTCCCCTTCCTCCCTGGCATCCCACCGACCTGTATCCCAACACATTTCTGCTCCCTAGGCATGGTGAGGCCATCCATGGGGTATCTTTAAAGTCTGACATATCAAATGGAACAGAGCCTAGAACTTTGCCAAACTCTTTTTATGAGGCTAAAATTATCTTGGTACCTAAGCAACACAAAGACACAACTAAGAAAGGGAACAGCAGACCAATATCCCTCAAAAACATTGATGCAAAAATACTCAATAAAATACTGGCAAACCGAGTCCAAGAACATATCAGAAAAATCATCCGCCACGATCAAGCAGGCTTCATCCCCGGGATGCAGACTTGGTTCAACATATGAAAATACAATACATCAATGTAATCCACCATATAAACAAACTGGAAAGGAAAAACCATATGATCATCTCACTAGATGCTGAAAAAGCCTTTGACAAAATCCAACATCCCTTCATGACAAAGGTCCTGGAGAGATCAGGGATAACAGGAGCATACCTGAACATAAAAAAAAAAAAAAAAAAAAAAAAAAACAGTATACAGTAAACCAATAGCCAACATCAAACTGAATGGAGAGAAACTCAACGCGATTCCTCTAAAATCAGGAAAAAGACAAGGATGTCCACTTTCTCCATATATCTTCAATATTGTCCTTGAAGTTCTAGCTAGAGCAATCAGACAACAAAGGAGATCAAGGGGATACAAATTAGAAAGGAAGAAGTTAAACTTTCACTGTTTGCAGATGATATGATAGTTTACATAAGTGACCAGAAAAACTCTATCAGGGAACTCCTACATCTGATAAACACCTTCAGCAAAGTGGCAGGATAAAAGTTTAACTCAAAAAAATCAGTAGCCCTACTATATGCAGATGATAAATGGGCTGAGAAAGAAATCAGAGAAACATCACCCTTACAATAGACACAAACAACATAAAATATCTTGGGGTGGCACTAACTAAACAAGTGAAAGACATGTAGTACAAGAACTTGGAGTCTTTAAAGAAAGAAATTAGAGAAGGTATCAGAAAATGGAAATGATCTCCCATGCTCTTGGACAGGTAGAATAGACCAACACAGTAAAAATGGCAATCTTGCCAAAAGCAATATACAGCTTCAATGCAATATTCATCAAAATACTGGCATGATTCTTCACAGAACTTGAAAGAACTATACTCAACTTTATATGAAAAAAATAAAAGACCCAGGATAGCCCAAACCACCCTGTACAATAAAGCAACTTCTGGAGGCATCACCATCCCTGACTTCAACCTCTATTATAAAGCTATAGTATTGGCACAAAAAAAGACAGGTAGACCAATGGAATCGAATTGAAAACCCTGATATAAACCCACATACCCATGAACACCTGATATTTGACAAAGAAGCTATACAATGGAATAAAGAAAGCATCTTCAACAAATGATGCTGGCATAACTGGATGCTCCATGTAGAAGACTGCAGAGAGATCCATGTCTATCCTCATGCAGAAAACTTAAGTCCAAATGGATCAAAAACCTCAACATAAAGCCAGCCACACTGAATCTATTAGAAGAGGAAGTGGGAAGTACCCTTGAAAGAATTGGTACAGTTGACTGCTTCCTGAACATAACAGCAGTAGCACAGACACTGAGATTTACAACTAATAAATGGGACCTCCTGAAAATGAGAAGCTTCTGTAAGGCAAAGGACACAGTCAACAAAACAAAATGGCAGCTCACAAAATGGAAAAGATATTCACCAACCCCCCATCGGACAGAGGGCTGATCTCCAAAATTTACAAGGAACTCAAGAAGCTAGTTTCCAAAATGCCAAATAATCCATTTAAAAAGTGGGGTACAGAACTAAATAGAGAATTCTCAATAGAGGAATCTAAAATGGCTGAAAGACACATAAAGTACTCAACATTACGAGCCTTCAAGGAAATGCAAACCAAAGCAACTCTGAGAAACCTTCTTACTCCTGTCAGAATGGCTAAAATCAAAAACACCACAGACAATTTATGCTGGAGAGGATGTGCAGAAAAGGGAACACTTCTCCACTTCTGTGGGAGTGTCAACTTGTACAGCCACTTTGGAAATCAGTATGGTGACTCCTCAGGAAAATGGGAACAAGTCTACCACAAGTTCCATCAATTCCACTCCTAGGCATATGCCCAAAAGAAGCACATTCATACAACAAGGACATCTTTTCAATTATGTTCATAGCAGCATTATTTGTAATAGCCAGAACCTGGAAGCAATCTAGATGCCCCTCAACTGAAGAATGGATAGTGAAAATGTGGTACACTTACACAATGGAGTACTACTCAGAGGAATAAAAAAAAACAATGCAATCTTGAAATTCGCAGGCAAATGGATGGAACTAGAAGAAATGATTCTGAGCGAGGTAACACAGTCACAAAAAGACAACATGGTATGTACTCACTCATATATGGATTTTAGACATAGAGCAAAGGATTACCAGCCTACAATCCTAGGAAAAAGAACCAACCTAAGAGAGACATAGATGGTCCCCCAGAGAAGGGGATAGGGACAAGATCTCCTGAGCAAATTGTGAGCCTGGGGGGAGGGGAGAGGGAGCCAGGAGAATGAGAAGAGGAGAAGAGGAGGGGTGAGGAGGACATGAGGGTGCAGAAAATTGAGTCAGGAGAAGAATAGAAGAAAATAAGAAAGGAGATACCATAATAGAGGGAGACATTTTAGGTTTACAGAGAAATCAGGCACTAGGGAAAGGTCTGGAGATCTACAAAGATAACACCAACTAACAATCTAAGCAACAAAAGAGAGGCTACCTTAAATGCCCTCCCCTGATAATGAGATTGATGAGTACCTAGAGCCTTCATCCAGCAGCTGATTGAAGCAGAAGCAGACACCCACAGCTAAACACTGAACTATACTGGAATCCAGTTGCAGAGAAGAAGGAGTGATGAGCAAAGGGGTCAAGACCAGGCTGGTGAAACCCACAGAAATAGCTGACCTGAACAAGGGGAATCTCATGGTGCCCAGAATGGTAGCTGAGGAACCAGCATAGGACTAATCCAGACCTCATGAACATGGATATGAGTGAGGAGGCCTCAGAAATCTATGGGGCCTCTTGTAGTACTTATCAGTACTTATCCCTAGCATAAGAATGGACTTTGGGAGCCCATTCCACGTAGAGGGATACTCCCTCAGCCTTGACACAAAGGAGAGGGTCTAGGCCCTCCTCCAAATGATACCACAGACTTTGGAGATTCCCTCATGGAAGGCCTCACCCTCCTGGGGAGCAAAAAGGTTAAGGGATAGGTAGGGTATTATTGGAGGACAGGGGAGAAGGCGAGGGAGAGGGAACTGGGATTCACAGGTAAAAGAACCTTGTTTCTAATTTAAATAAAATATGGGAAAAAAAGAATAAGATGGTGAGAGAACAGTCAAAGAAATAAAACAGAAGAACCCCATTGAATATTTAAATTAGTGAATAAAGTAGTATTAAAACTATTAATAAATTACCACCAAGATTAAATGAAAATGTAATCTTTAGAAACAACTTATTAAAATAAGTGCATCTTAAGGGAAACAATCCATGTAATAATGTGATATTAAGATCTACTTAAGCATATTAGGATGATGTGACAGAACGTTATGGGGGTATTGACAAAGCAATAAAATACTAAAATATTTAAGCTACATCCTTCTATATCTCTTAAAGTATTTAGACTGTATATCTATATATTATTCATTTGGTTTTAGAACTTTTAAATAGTAACCAAAAATACGAAGAAAATTAATAACGGGCATTTTGTATTGAAGTCATTTAAAGGAAAAATGCTTTCTAACAGCATGTTCTATGCACTTTTTATTTTTAGAACAGAGAAATCTAAATAAATATAGAGGCATTTAACCTAAGGCTTAAAACCCTATTAAATATATTCTAAAACTTCTATAATAACTTCAGTTTACTATATTTATTGCGTTAGCTGATACATATAATAGTCATAAAAATTTAGATAATATGTAAATACTGATCAAATAATAAATTGATGAGAACCAAT